GTGGGAGAGAGAGAGAGAGAAAGAAAGAGAGAGAGGGAGAGAGAGAAAGAGAGAGCGAGCAAGAGCGAGAAAGAGAGAGTGAGAGAAAGAGAGAGAAAGACAGAGGAACGTAAAAAAAATAGGAGAAATGATAATAATCGTGACGCCGGTTTCTCCTGCCTTGTTCGTTGCCCGGGGAGCGGCTATGGCGGCGGCCTGGCTCTTACTGCTGCTCTCCTCGATGCGGGGGTGACCGAAAGGGGTCGTCCGAAGCTCGCGGGCCGAAGGGGGAACGATTATCTCGCAGCATCCCCATCGCGCAGGACCAGCCCGTGCGACGCGACGGCTACGTGGAATCGAGACAGCCACTGCTGTGACGGGGGAAGAGAGGGCGCTGGTAGAACAGAGACGACCGCAGAATCTAGCGGGATGCGGGAGGGGTGGCTACGTCGGTGCGAAGGGTGTAGGATCGAATGGAGGACGGAGCGACGGAGAGAAAGAAGGAGAGAACGGGTTGGAAAGTGGAACCGGAGAAAATGGAAAGGGACGAAGATCGTGGATGAAAGAGGAGGATTCGGAATTTACTGGTTGGAGAAAGAAATGATATGCCTAGGGGTTGAACGGGGGGCGAGGAGGGTGGGACGTGACGGAATAAACCAGCCTATCGGAGGGAGAGGAACGATGGAGGGACGGAGATCAAACGAGACTGTGAACAGTTGGAAGAAAAACGCCGGGGAATAATACCGAGCCCGGAGACGGCTGGAACTATGAGACGGTGGGAATAGATGCGAATTAAGGAGCAAGAAGACCGGAAGGGCAAAAAGCGATGCTGGGGGATGATAAAAATGATCGAATATTGAAGCTGTTAGAAAAAAAGCGATGGATACGGGTTTTTTCGACGGATTGGCCGGTGAAACGTGAGGAAATTGTGTAAGATGAAAAAGGGAACGGTGCATGGGATTGAACTGAGGAGTAAGGTACACGTGAATTGCGGATAATCCTGAATGAAGTGATAACAGCGGGAAATAAATACTGCAGGATTGAATATAAAAATAGAAGTATACACGTGAAACCGGATATTCCCCGTGACGCTAGAATGTGGGATGAGTGAGGGAGGAAGATAGCGGACACCTTTCTTTCCCGGCTCTTCGTGACACCGTTACGAATAGCAAGGACTCCGTCGCCACCGAAGATTCCGGAGGAAAAAATAAGGGTTAAACCGTATTCCGTGCTTGCAAAGATAACTAACTTTTTTCACCAAGCTGCGCTAAAGCGTGAGAGTTTCGTGAATGTAATAGAAACGTAAATATGTAAATTAGATTTTTATTGGGACGAATAAATTTACAAAGAATATTCTATTTTAAGGGTAGAAACTATTGATCGGTTTGTTATTAATTTTTAATGTATAAAGTCTTTAAAAGATTCTTAATATATAAACTATTCTATAATTAATTCTTAATACATAAGTGGAATCATAACAACGACAAATGTAAGCTGCATTACCATAAAATAAATCCTACATTGTTCGGCTAATGGGAAATGCCTGTAAAATTTCTTTGTGAATAAAATTTTGTCTGGGAATTAATTTTATGATTTAATTAAGTCAATATACTATAATTATCTCGTGATAATATTGGAAATACCACTCGAAGTAGAATGGGAGATAAATAATGAATATCTAAATGGACTGATATAGATCTCTTTACCGAAACGCATATACTAAAATAATGCTGTGGGTAATATAGGTAGTTGTCAGATACATTCAGAAAAATTCAGTTTTTTCGATATATGTTTGTTAACTAAAAACTTAATTTTTTAATTTATACAAAATTGTGCTACCCAAGTTCGGTTGATTTGGTGGTCATAATGTTAATTAAGTAATTTTTATTGTGAAGTATGAAACGTACGATTATTGGGTTTCTGGATTTTTTTAATCTGTAAGCGTATAACGACCGCGTTCTGTCTTTGTAAGTATCTACTGATCGCACTCGAAGTTTGGATTCAAAAGCGCATGGACAAAACTAGAACGCTGAACGATAGGCACAGCACAGAAGTAAAGAACCAAGTAAACACTCGTATAATATATCGATCAGGAGTTTCCTACTTTTGGATCACTTATGAGTAAAAAGCGAAGAATACAATGAAAAGTAGGACACAATAACTTTTCAACGGACAAGAAGCAGCTCGTGTATTGGAAAAAATGTTGTGAGACATTTATATGTTGTCAGGTTTATAAATTGACGTGAATAAAATTATAATTTATTAGAAAAGTATGAAATAATAAAATTATAAATTTAAAATTATTAATTTGATTTGTATTCTTTACTTGCCAATAGCGAAACATTATGTTTTTTAACAAATAAATTGTAGCGTATATGGCGTAAAATATTATGAGATTGAAAACTTTAGAAATTAATAAAAATTTAAAAAGAAACAAAAATACATTATTTTCGATAAATATGGTCATGAAAATTAACTAAATTTCGAGAAACATCCTTCTTTCAACTGATAATTACAATATCTTCTAATAACGCCTATACATTTTTGTAAATAAGGATAATTATTTTAATAAAAGAGACCTCTTTTAATAAAAGAGAATTTATTTTATTATCTACTGCAAATAATTCTCAATTTTTCCATATGCTTAGCTTTTTCATCAACTGCAAGGTTGAAATTACATCTTACATTAATTAAATGGCTCAAATGTTCTGTTACGTTGATTAATATGAATAACTCAAACTTTTAAATAAATAATATAAATAATATCCTTGCAACCTCTACCCATTTTCAGCGTTTTTTAGAATTGGAATGTTTCATTCTGAAAACTCGTATCACCCTGGGGAAAAAATAAATCAAACTGGAAAATAAAAATGCTTTTACAGGAAAAATATACTGGAAAATTTAAAATATTGTATATTGGAAGCTTCAAAATTTTTTTTTTATAACATAGTGCATGTAAAGTAATCTGCATAATATAAACTACATTTAATATGAATTGTAGCAGTTAACATATAAATAAAATGCTTCTATGGATTATACAAGTGATATAACCATTAAGAGTAGAAACGGAAGTAGTAAATGGACATATTAGTCAGACATATTTAAAAAAGCACATTCATCTTCATCATGATTTTCTTTCCAACTTTAATATTTATAATTACCTTTGCTTTATAGATATTTTTATATAGTTTATAGTCTCTTCATCGTCACTCAAATTTGTAATAAAATTCTGATTAAGAAAACTATTATAAAAATAATTACTTAAACATTAGAGCCATCTATTACACATGTATCAAGATATACATACTTTTTAAATATCCAGTTAACACAAATATCGAAACTCTCAATTAAAATAATTTAATTTTCCAATACATATCCCACTTGTTAGTATTACACATTCAAAATATCTTTCACAAATAACACTCTTTACATTAATTGGGAACAATTTCATTTGTAAAACTTATTATTGTGAACAGACGATAAAATTCTTTTCTCCTGCCCCTAAAAAATGATTTTAATAAAACAGTGTTTTTTCCAATTACATTGTAAATAATTTTTATATTATGTACATCTTTTACGAGTTTTTTCATTTTGCTACCCAAATTTGGCACTTTACCGCTTCGGAGGTATCGATTATATGGACCTAATTTACTCTTTACCGTTGAATGAAATCGCTTGCAACTATTTAATACACTTAGTATAATCAATATGAATATTAAATACACCAACGAGTAACCAAAGCGAGTTAAAGAACCATGTACCTTATTCCCAACTCTCCAGAGGCTTTACATCGTACCTATTAAATTCTTCCATATAATACTGATACATTGGGGAATTCAGTCGCGTGTTGTCAGTCACTGGAGGAGGTGATGTTGGAAGTATTGCGATATCGAACAAAACAGAGCAAGGAGGGAAAGAAAAGTGGGACGAGCTTCTATTTTCTTCAGAATATAATAGGACCACCAATATGCAGTGAAATATTTCTTATGATAAAAAATCATTACTTATTTATATGAATTTGTTATACGTTACCTTTGCTGTGTGAGTAAATCAGAATAATAGTAATTTAATTCCTATTTCTGACTTTTCAAAGAAGAAAAGCTTTTGTGAAATGTTCTCGGATTAGGAATATACTGATATTGCAATTACTAATATTAATATAATTATACAATATAATTATTAATATTAATAATGAATGAAATTAATATTATTGATAACATTGTAATATTGGTGTTTAATTAATTCAAGAATATTTTATAAAAGTTTTTTTCCCTAAAACTCAGAAATAGGAATTAGATCTGTATTATTCTGAGCCACAAATATGATTCCTAATTTTAAAGCGTATTGTAACTTAATGTATTTATTTCTAAAATTTAAAAAAATATATGAATGCTATTTATACTACATTTACGGAACTTTAGAATATTTATGTATACAATAATGTTTTAAAGTTGTATTTCTTAAATTTCTCGCTTCGCCTTTTCTTATGTTTTTCTTTTAACGCGTTTCTTGCGAGTGCTTATTTAGACAAAGATTTTCACAGCGTTGCATGCTTCTGAATTGCTCCTTCTCATTGTCAGCGAGGATCTTATTTTTCTCCTACATTCTTTAGATAACAAATAAGAAAAAGTTATTAAGTCCTTGTTCTGCTTTCTCCTATTCAAGTACTTTTTACTAGTATCATAAATAAAAACT